ATGTAGCAGTTACTGCTCACGGTCTTCTATATCCTATACCCACGGTCGATGTAGCAGTAACTGCTCACGATCTTCTATATCCTATTCCCAAAGACACGCCACACACGACTGAAAGAAGCAGGTATCCAACATACAGCCAAATTGATTGACAGTAGACTGGGGGAACTTCTCACTTCCGTTGAGCTAGACGATATGAAGCCCTCACAATTTATACATCACATGCGCACATTACTGACCAGTCGACAGACAGCTAATGGGATCTTTTGCACAATCTGCATAGATAAGCTGCGAATTCTGATGTAACAAGTATTGGCATTGCTCGATGCGAGCACTTTGATAGACATTTAGGCCAAACAGGCGGATCGTATAATAGAATGCTACTCTATTGGTAGGTGGTATCCATCTAGCCAACAGACTACGGTCTCTCACAGGCGGCCAGATTTGATGCCATCTGTGGCGTCTAGTGTAACCCCTAAGACCGAGCGAGCTATTTCGCATTCTGCATCTGCAGCTTGCTCTCGTTCCGCATCTCGATCGACCGCACCAGCTGAACTAGCACGAGGACTATCTGATTCACATAACAAGGATTTACACGGTTCGACATCACACTGTCACAACTGACAGGCCTATAAGAGTTAAGGCTAAGACGGTTAACCCTAACAACTACAATCTTCCAGGGCTGGTTCCTTAGGAGATAGGAGAATTCTTGGGAAGGCCAGAGTAAAAGAAATAGTTTATTGTGTACACAAAGAAACAAAGAATAGATGAAAAGAAGTTGGACTTCGAAGCACACGTCATTCCGCCGGAGCGCCGTTGTACTAAGTGATGCCTGGCGGCCGAGGGTAGGGAAAAAGGGACTTGTTCGAGTGGTGCTTTGGGCCGTTCGAGAACCTAGACGCACGTGTGTGTGTCCGAGTGGAAGTAGGTCAAGTCTTTGCAGGTCAGCGCGACTGTAAACGCCGACTGAGGTATTGGATGACCTTGAGGCAGCTGGCCTATAAAAATGTCGCCGGACAAAGCAATGGAGGGCCTTGGATGGCAGAGACCACTGCAAGTAGTCGTTTATGTTTATGATTTCCCGCTAACTGACGATTGCCCACTCTTCGCCTCCAATCATGTAAACGACTGCTGTTTGACTTTTTTCTACCGTATCGATGTCACTACGTCACCAATAGGGAGCTCAAATGCGTTTGCCTATCTTTCCCTTAATAAAACTGAACTGAACTGAAGAGAACCCGCGTAACTGGTTAAGCAACCGCGAAGCGGAAGTGAAAGACAAGACAATGAGTTTGATAAAGACAAGAAGATTGTCTTAGTCTAGTCACAAGCCATACTTAAGGAGTGGACCGACAATTCGACCAAGCCGGCCAACACTAGGCGACAAAAAAGCCCAACATAACCAAGTGAACCCTATAAAAAGCAGGATTAATCCGATTAGCACAGTACGTCGCTTTTTTAGGCATGGACTAACAAGGGCAAGAGGACTGCAGTGGGGCACGGTAGACAAGGCCGTATGTAGAGCATACACTGTAGTAATAGGGCTGTCTCGCGTAGGGCACATAGGAAAACACGTAAAATGACCAATTTAACGAAAAATGTGATGTGAAACCGGCAAAACTAGGGTTGCTTCGTTAAGCCACCGCATAAAGCGCTGGAAAAAGTGCGCTTTATGATTTTTTGTCAGGTCACATCTGAATCGTAATCTCAGCATATGGCCATACTTTCAAGTTTGGTATTATTTGTTTGTGCACCGATCTATTCCTCAGGATGCGCCCATCCTGGG